TAATTTCAGTGGTCGCATTGGTTTCATTTTTGGTTTGCTTGTAGGGCGCTGGCACCCGCATTCAGTGACCCAGAAAATTTGGCACTGCTGTGAATAGTTTAGTCGCAAAGTGAAGATTCACGGGTAAAAAGCCCCAAACTTCTAGATAGGTTCTTTTTCAGCTTTCAGCAGCCCTGGACGAGTTCTTTAGAGAAATGTGGGACTTTTTCTTGGTGCTCTTGTCTATGTCCAGCTACACAACGAGATGAGGATTGTCATTGTCATTTTCTAAGCTGCGAACGGGCAGAAAGGTGAGAAAATGTCGGATTTTGACCATTTGTGCTGACCTTTCAATTTCAACGTACCTCTCTATAACATGACCCAGCTGTAATTTCATTGGTCGCATTGGTTTCATTTTTAGTTTGCTTGTAGGGCGCTGGCACCCGCATTCAGTGACCCAGAAAATTTGGCACTGCTGTGAATAGTTTAGTCGCAAAGTGAAGATTCACGGGTAAAAAGCCCCAAACTTCTAGATAGGTTCTTTTTCAGCTTTCAGCAGCCCTGGGCGAGTTCTTTAGAGAAATGTGGCTCTTTTTCATGGTGCTATTTGCTATGTCCAGCTACACAACGAGATGAGCATGGTCATTAACATTTTCTGAGCTGCGAACAGGCAGAAAGGTGAGAAAATGTCGGATTTTGACCATTTGTGCTGACCTTTCAATTTCAACGTACCTCTCTATAACATGAACCAGCTGTAATGTCAGTGGTCGCATTGATTTGATTTTTGGTTTGCTTTTAGGGCGCTGGCACCCGCATTCATTGACCCAGAAAATTTGGCACTGCTGTGAATAGTTTAGTCGCAAAGTGAAGATTCACGGGTAAAAAGCCCCAAACTTCTAGATAGGTTCTTTTTCAGCTTTCAGCAGCCCTGGGTGAGTTCTTTAGAGAAATGTGGCTCTTTTTCATGGTGCTATTTTCTATGTCCAGCTAACCAACGAGATGAGGATGGTCATTGTCATTTTCTAAGCTGCGAACGTGCAGAAAGGTGAGAAAATGTCGGATTTTGACCATTTGTGCTGACCTTCCAATTTCAACGTACCTCTCTATAACATGACCCAGCGGTAATTTCAGTGGTCGCATTGGTTTCATTTTTGGTTTGCTTGTAGGGCGCTGGCACCCGCATTCAGTGACCCAGAAAATTTGGCACTGCTGTGAATAGTTTAGTCGCAAAGTGAAGATTCACGGGTAAAAAGCCCCAAACTTCTAGATAGGTTCTTTTTCAGCTTTCAGCAGCCCTGGACGAGTTCTTTAGAGAAATGTGGGTCTTTTTCTTGGTGCTCTTGTCTATGTCCAGCTACACAACGAGATGAGGATTGTCATTGTCATTTTTTAAGCTGCGAACGGGCAGAAAGGTGAGAAAATGTCGGATTTTGACCATTTGTGCTGACCTTTCAATTTCAACGTACCTCTCTATAACATGACCCAGCTGTAATTTCATTGGTCGCATTGGCTTCATTTTTGGTTTGCTTGTAGGGCGCTGGCACCCGCATTCAGTGACCCAGAAAATTTGGCACTGCTGTGAATAGTTTAGTCGCAAAGTGAAGATTCACGGGTAAAAAGCCCCAAACTTCTAGATAGGTTCTTTTTCAGCTTTCAGCAGCCCTGGGCGAGTTCTTTAGAGAAATGTGACTCTTTTTCATGGTGCTATTTGCTATGTCCAGCTACACAACGGGATGAGGATGGTCATTGTCATTTTCTGAGCTGCGAACGGGCAGAAAGGTGAGAAAATGTCGGATTTTGCCCATTTGTGCTGACCTTTGAATTTCAACGTACCTCTCTATAACATGACCCAGCTGTAATTTCAGTGGTCGCATTGGTTTCATTTTTGGTTTGCTTGTAGGGCGCTGGCACCCGCATTCAGTGACCCAGAAAATTTGGCACTGCTGTGAATAGTTTAGTCGCAAAGTGAAGATTCACGGGTAAAAAGCCCCAAACTTCTAGATAGGTTCTTTTTCAGCTTTCAGCAGCCCTGGGCGAGTTCTTTAGAGAAATGTGGCTCTTTTTCATGGTGCTATTTTCTATGTCCAGCTAACCAACGAGATGAGGATGGTCATTGTCATTTTCTAAGCTGCGAACGTGCAGAAAGGTGAGAAAATGTCGGATTTTGACCATTTGTGCTGACCTTCCAATTTCAACGTACCTCTCTATAACATGACCCAGCTGTAATGTCAGCGGTCGCATTGGTTTCATATTTGGTTTGCTTGTGGGGCGCTGGCACCCACAATCAGTGACCCAAAAAATTTGGCACTGCTGTGAATAGTTTAGTCGCAAAGTGAAGATTCACGGGTAAAAAGCCCCAAACTTCTAGATAGGTTCTTTTTCAGCTTTCAGCAGCCCTGGGCGAGTTCTTTAGAGAAATGTGACTCTTTTTCATGGTGCTTTATCTATGTCCAGCTAACCAACGAGATGAGCATGGTCATTGTCATTTTCTAAGCTGCGAACGGGCAGAAAGGTGAGAAAATGTCGGATTTTGACCATTTGTGCTGACCTTTCAATTTCAACGTACCTCTCTATAACATGACCCAGCTGTAATTTCATTGGTCGCATTGGTTTCATTTTTGGTTTGCTTGTAGGGCGCTGGCACCCGCATTCAGTGACCCAGAAAATTTGGCACTGCTGTGAATAGTTTAGTCGCAAAGTGAAGATTCACGGGTAAAAAGCCCCAAACTTCTAGATAGGTTCTTTTTCAACTTTCAGCAGCCCTGGGCGAGTTCTTTAGAGAAATGTGACTCTTTTTCATGGTGCTATTTGCTATGTCCAGCTACACAATGAGATGAGAATGGTCATTGTCATTTTCTGAGCTGCGAACGGGCAGAAAGGTGAGAAAATGTCGGATTTTGACCATTTGTGCTGACCTTTCAATTTCAACGTACCTCTCTATAACATGAACCAGCTGTAGTGTCAGTGGTCGCATTGATTTGATTTTTGGTTTGCTTTTAGGGCGCTGGCACCCCCATTTATTGACCCAGAAAATGTGGCACTGCTGTAAATAGTTAAGTCGCAAAGTGAAGATTCACGGGTAAAAAGCCCCAAACTTCTAGATAGGTTCTTTTTCAGCTTTCAGCAGCCGTGGGCGAGTTCTTTACGGAAATGTGGGTCTTTTTCTTGGTGCTCTTGTCTATGTCCAGCTACACAACGAGATGAGGATGGTCATTGTCATTTTCTGAGCTGCGAACGGGCAGAACGGTGAGAAAATGTCGGATTTTGACCATTTGTGCTGACCTTTCAATTTCAACGTACCTCTCTGTAACATGACCCAGCTGTAATGTCAGCGGTCGCATTGGTTTCATTTTTGGTTTGCTTGTAGGGCGCTGGCACCCGCATTCAGTGACCTAGAAAATTTGGCACTGCTGTGAATAGTTTAGTCGCAAAGTGAAGATTCACGGGTAAAAAGCCCCAAACTTCTAGATAGGTTCTTTTTCAGCTTTCAGCAGCCCTGGGCGAGTTCTTTAGAGAAATGTGGCTCTTTTTCATGGTGCTATTTTCTATGTCCAGCTACACAACGAGATGAGGATTGTCATTGTCATTTTCTAAGCTGCGAACGGGCAGAAAGGTGAGAAAATGTCGGATTTTGACCATTTGTGCTGACCTTTCAATTTCAACGTACCTCTCTATAACATGACCCAGCTGTAATTTCATTGGTCGCATTGGTTTCATTTTTGGTTTGCTTGTAGGGCGCTGGCACCCGCATTCAGTGACCTAGAAAATTTGGCACTGCTGTGAATAGTTTAGTCGCAAAGTGAAGATTCACGGGTAAAAAGCCCCAAACTTCTAGATAGGTTCTTTTTCAGCTTTCAGCAGCCCTGGGCGAGTTCTTTAGAGAAATGTGGCTCTTTTTCATGGTGCTATTTGCTATGTCCAGCTACACAACGAGATGAGGATGGTCATTGTCATTTTCTGAGCTGCGAACGGGCAGAAAGGTGAGAAAATGTCGGATTTTGACCATTTGTGCTGACCTTTCAATTTCAACGTACCTCTCTATAACATGAACCAGCTGTAATGTCAGTGGTCGCATTGATTTGATTTTTGGTTTGCTTTTAGGGCGCTGGCACCCGCATTCATTGACCCAGAAAATTTGGCATTGCTGTGAATAGTTTAGTCGCAAAGTGAAGATTCACGGGTAAAAAGCCCCAAACTTCTAGATAGGTTCTTTTTCAGCTTTCAGCAGCCCTGGGCGAGTTCTTTAGATAAATGTGACTCTTTTTCATGTGCTGTTGTCTATTTCCAGCTACACAACGAGATGAGGATGGTCATTGTCATTTTCTAAGCTGCGAACGGGCAGAAAGGAGAGAAAATGTCGGATTTTGACCATTTGTGCTGACCTTTCAATTTCAACGTACCTCTCTATAACATGAACCAGCGGTAATTTCAGTGGTCGCATTGGTTTCATTTTTGGTTTGCTTGTAGGGCGCTGGCACCCGCATTCAGTGACCCAGAAAATTTGGCACTGCTGTGAATAGTTTAGTCGCAAAGTGAAGATTCACGGGTAAAAAGCCCCAAACTTCTAGATAGGTTCTTTTTCAGCTTTTAGCAGCCCTGGGCGAGTTCTTTACGGAAATGTGGGTCTTTTTCTTGGTGCTCTTGTCTATGTCCAGCTACACAACCAGATGAGGATGGTCATTGTCATTTTCTGAGCTGCGAACGGGCAGAACGGTGAGAAAATGTCGGATTTTGACCATTTGTGCTGACCTTTCAATTTCAACATACCTCTCTATAACATGACCCAGCTGTAATTTTAGTGCTCGCATTGGTTTCATTTTTGGTTTGCTTGTAGGGCGCTGGCACCCGCATTCAGTGACCTAGAAAATTTGGCACTGCTGTGAATAGTTTAGTCGCAAAGTGAAGATTCACGGGTAAAAAGCCCCAAACTTCTAGATAGGTTCTTTTTCAGCTTTCAGCAGCCCTGGGCGAGTTCTTTAGAGAAATGTGGCTCTTTTTCATGGTGCTTTTTTCTATGTCCAGCTACACAACGAGATGAGGATGGTCATTGTCATTTTCTGAGCTGCGAACGGGCAGAAAAGTGAGAAAATGTCGGATTTTGACCATTTGTGCTGACCTTTCAATTTCAACGTACCTCTCTATAACATGACCCAGCTGTATTTTCAGTGGTCGCATTGGTTTCATTTTTGGTTTGCTTGTAGGGCGCTGGCGCCCGCATTCAGTGACCCAGAAAATTTGGCACTGCTGTGAATAGTTTAGTCGCAAAGTGAAGATTCACGGGTAAAAAGCCCCAAACTTCTAGATAGGTTCTTTTTCAGCTTTCAGCAGCCCTGGGTGAGTTCTTTAGAGAAATGTGGCTCTTTTTCATGGTGCTATTTTCTATGTCCAGCTAACCAACGAGATGAGGATGTTCATTGTCATTTTCTAAGCTGCGAACGTGCAGAAAGGTGAGAAAATGTCGGATTTTGACCATTTGTGCTGACCTTCCAATTTCAACGTACCTCTCTATAACATGACCCAGCTGTAATGTCAGCGGTCGCATTGGTTTCATATTTGGTTTGCTTGTAGGGCGCTGGCACCCACAATCAGTGACCCAAAAAATTTGGCACTGCTGTGAATAGTTTAGTCGCAAAGTGAAGATTCACGGGTAAAAAGCCCCAAACTTCTAGATAGGTTCTTTTTCAGCTTTCAGCAGCCCTGGGCGAGTTCTTTAGAGAAATGTGACTCTTTTTCATGGTGCTTTTATCTATGTCCAGCTTAACAACGAGATGAGCATAGTCATTGTCATTTTTTAAGCTGCGAACGGGCAGAAAGGTGAGAAAATGTCGGATTTTGACCATTTGTGCTGACCTTTCAATTTCAACGTACCTCTCTATAACATGACCCAGCGGTAATTTCAGTGGTCGCATTGGTTTCATTTTTGGTTTGCTTGTAGGGCGCTGGCACCCGCATTCAGTGACCCAGAAAATTTGGCACTGCTGTGAATAGTTTAGTCGCAAAGTGAAGATTCACGGGTAGAAAGCCCCAAACTTCTAGATAGGTTCTTTTTCAGCTTTTAGCAGCCCTGGGCGAGTTCTTTACGGAAATGTGGGTCTTTTTCTTGGTGCTCTTGTCTATGTCCAGCTACACAACCAGATGAGGATGGTCATTGTCATTTTCTGAGCTGCGAACGGGCAGAACGGTGAGAAAATGTCGGATTTTGACCATTTGTGCTGACCTTTCAATTTCAACGTACCTCTCTATAACATGACCCAGCTGTAATTTTAGTGCTCGCATTGGTTTCATTTTTGGTTTGCTTGTAGTGCGCTGGCACCCGCATTCAGTGACCTAGAAAATTTGGCACTGCTGTGAATAGTTTAGTCGCAAAGTGAAGATTCACGGGTAAAAAGCCCCAAACTTCTAGATAGGTTCTTTTTCAGCTTTCAGCAGCCCTGGGCGAGTTCTTTAGAGAAATGTGGCTCTTTTTCATGGTGCTTTTTTCTATGTCCAGCTACACAACGAGATGAGGATGGTCATTGTCATTTTCTGAGCTGCGAACGGGCAGAAAAGTGAGAAAATGTCGGATTTTGACCATTTGTGCTGACCTTTCAATTTCAACGTACCTCTCTATAACATGACCCAGCTGTATTTTCAGTGGTCACATTGGTTTCATTTTTGGTTTGCTTGTAGGGCGCTGGCGCCCGCATTCAGTGACCCAGAAAATTTGGCACTGCTGTGAATAGTTTAGTCGCAAAGTGAAGATTCACGGGTAAAAAGCCCCAAACTTCTAGATAGGTTCTTTTTCAGCTTTCAGCAGCCCTGGGTGAGTTCTTTAGAGAAATGTGGCTCTTTTTCATGGTGCTATTTTCTATGTCCAGCTAACCAACGAGATGAGGATGTTCATTGTCATTTTCTAAGCTGCGAACGTGCAGAAAGGTGAGAAAATGTCGGATTTTGACCATTTGTGCTGACCTTCCAATTTCAACGTACCTCTCTATAACATGACCCAGCTGTAATGTCAGCGGTCGCATTGGTTTCATATTTGGTTTGCTTGTAGGGCGCTGGCACCCACAATCAGTGACCCAAAAAATTTGGCACTGCTGTGAATAGTTTAGTCGCAAAGTGAAGATTCACGGGTAAAAAGCCCCAAACTTCTAGATAGGTTCTTTTTCAGCTTTCAGCAGCCCTGGGCGAGTTCTTTTGAGAAATGTGACTCTTTTTCATGGTGCTTTATCTATGTCCAGCTAACCAACGAGATGAGCATGGTCATTGTCATTTTCTAAGCTGCGAACGGGCAGAAAGGTGAGAAAATGTCGGATTTTGACCATTTGTGCTGACCTTTCAATTTCAACGTACCTCTCTATAACATGACCCAGCGGTAATTTCAGTGGTCGCATTGGTTTCATTTTTGGTTTGCTTGTAGGGCGCTGGCACCCGCATTCAGTGACCCAGAAAATTTGGCACTGCTGTGAATAGTTTAGTCGCAAAGTGAAGATTCACGGGTAAAAAGCCCCAAACTTCTAGATAGGTTCTTTTTCAGCTTTCAGCAGCCCTGGACGAGTTCTTTAGAGAAATGTGGGTCTTTTTCTTGGTGCTCTTGTCTATGTCCAGCTACACAACGAGATGAGGATTGTCATTGTCATTTTCTAAGCTGCGAACGGGCAGAAAGGTGAGAAAATGTCGGATTTTGACCATTTATGCTGACCTTTCAATTTCAACGTACCTCTCTATAACATGACCCAGCTGTAATTTCATTGGTCGCATTGGTTTCATTTTTAGTTTGCTTGTAGGGCGCTGGCACCCGCATTCAGTGACCCAGAAAATTTGGCACTGCTGTGAATAGTTTAGTCGCAAAGTGAAGATTCACGGGTAAAAAGCCCCAAACTTCTAGATAGGTTCTTTTTCAGCTTTCAGCAGCCCTGGGCGAGTTCTTTAGAGAAATGTGGCTCTTTTTCATGGTGCTATTTGCTATGTCCAGCTACACAACGAGATGAGGATGTTCATTGTCATTTTCTAAGCTGCGAACGTGCAGAAAGGTGAGAAAATGTCGGATTTTGACCATTTGTGCTGACCTTCCAATTTCAACGTACCTCTCTATAACATGACCCAGCTGTAATGTCAGCGGTCGCATTGGTTTCATATTTGGTTTGCTTGTAGGGCGCTGGCACCCACAATCAGTGACCCAAAAAATTTGGCACTGCTGTGAATAGTTTAGTCGCAAAGTGAAGATTCACGGGTAAAAAGCCCCAAACTTCTAGATAGGTTCTTTTTCAGCTTTCAGCAGCCCTGGGCGAGTTCTTTTGAGAAATGTGACTCTTTTTCATGGTGCTTTATCTATGTCCAGCTAACCAACGAGATGAGCATGGTCATTGTCATTTTCTAAGCTGCGAACGGGCAGAAAGGTGAGAAAATGTCGGATTTTGACCATTTGTGCTGACCTTTCAATTTCAACGTACCTCTCTATAACATGACCCAGCGGTAATTTCAGTGGTCGCATTGGTTTCATTTTTGGTTTGCTTGTAGGGCGCTGGCACCCGCATTCAGTGACCCAGAAAATTTGGCACTGCTGTGAATAGTTTAGTCGCAAAGTGAAGATTCACGGGTAAAAAGCCCCAAACTTCTAGATAGGTTCTTTTTCAGCTTTCAGCAGCCCTGGACGAGTTCTTTAGAGAAATGTGGGTCTTTTTCTTGGTGCTCTTGTCTATGTCCAGCTACACAACGAGATGAGGATTGTCATTGTCATTTTCTAAGCTGCGAACGGGCAGAAAGGTGAGAAAATGTCGGATTTTGACCATTTATGCTGACCTTTCAATTTCAACGTACCTCTCTATAACATGACCCAGCTGTAATTTCATTGGTCGCATTGGTTTCATTTTTAGTTTGCTTGTAGGGCGCTGGCACCCGCATTCAGTGACCCAGAAAATTTGGCACTGCTGTGAATAGTTTAGTCGCAAAGTGAAGATTCACGGGTAAAAAGCCCCAAACTTCTAGATAGGTTCTTTTTCAGCTTTCAGCAGCCCTGGGCGAGTTCTTTAGAGAAATGTGGCTCTTTTTCATGGTGCTATTTGCTATGTCCAGCTACACAACGAGATGAGCATGGTCATTGTCATTTTCTGAGCTGCGAACGGGCAGAAAGGTGAGAAAATGTCGGATTTTGACCATTTGTGCTGACCTTTCAATTTCAACGTACCTCTCTATAACATGAACCAGCTGTAATGTCAGTGGTCGCATTGATTTGATTTTTGGTTTGCTTTTAGGGCGCTGGCACCCGCATTCATTGACCCAGAAAATTTGGCACTGCTGTGAATAGTTTAGTCGCAAAGTGAAGATTCACGGGTAAAAAGCCCCAAACTTCTAGATAGGTTCTTTTTCAGCGTTCAGCAGCCCTGGGTGAGTTCTTTAGAGAAATGTGGCTCTTTTTCATAGTGCTATTTTCTATGTCCAGCTAACCAACGAGATGAGGATGGTCATTGTCATTTTCTAAGCTGCGAACGTGCAGAAAGGTGAGAAAATGTCGGATTTTGACCATTTGTGCTGACCTTCCAATTTCAACGTACCTCCCTATAACATGACCCAGCTGTAATGTCAGCGGTCGCATTGGTTTCATATTTGGGTTGCTTGTAGGGCGCTGGCACCCACAATCAGTGACCCAAAAAATTTGGCACTGCTGTGAATAGTTTAGTCGCAAAGTGAAGATTCACGGGTAAAAAGCCCCAAACTTCTAGATAGGTTCTTTTTCAGCTTTCAGCAGCCCTGGGCGAGTTCTTTAGAGAAATGTGGCTCTTTTTCATGGTGCTTTTTTCTATGTCCAGCTACACAACGAGATGAGGATGGTCATTGTCATTTTCTGAGCTGCGAACGGGCAGAAAAGTGAGAAAATGTCGGATTTTGACCATTTGTGCTGACCTTTCAATTTCAACGTACCTCTCTATAACATGACCCAGCTGTATTTTCAGTGGTCGCATTGGTTTCATTTTTGGTTTGCTTGTAGGGCGCTGGCGCCCGCATTCAGTGACCCAGAAAATTTGGCACTGCTGTGAATAGTTTAGTCGCAAAGTGAAGATTCACGGGTAAAAAGCCCCAAACTTCTAGATAGGTTCTTTTTCAGCTTTCAGCAGCCCTGGGTGAGTTCTTTAGAGAAATGTGGCTCTTTTTCATGGTGCTATTTTCTATGTCCAGCTAACCAACGAGATGAGGATGTTCATTGTCATTTTCTAAGCTGCGAACCTGCAGAAAGGTGAGAAAATGTCGGATTTTGACCATTTGTGCTGACCTTCCAATTTCAACGTACCTCTCTATAACATGACCCAGCTGTAATGTCAGCGGTCGCATTGGTTTCATATTTGGTTTGCTTGTAGGGCGCTGGCACCCACAATCAGTGACCCAAAAAATTTGGCACTGCTGTGAATAGTTTAGTCGCAAAGTGAAGATTCACGGGTAAAAAGCCCCAAACTTCTAGATAGGTTCTTTTTCAGCTTTCAGCAGCCCTGGGCGAGTTCTTTAGAGAAATGTGACTCTTTTTCATGGTGCTTTTATCTATGTCCAGCTAACCAACGAGATGAGCATGGTCATTGTCATTTTCTAAGCTGCGAACGGGCAGAAAGGTGAGAAAATGTCGGATTTTGACCATTTGTGCTGACCTTTCAATTTCAACGTACCTCTCTATAACATGACCCAGCGGTAATTTCAGTGGTCGCATTGGTTTCATTTTTGGTTTGCTTGTAGGGCGCTGGCACCCGCATTCAGTGACCCAGAAAATTTGGCACTGCTGTGAATAGTTTAGTCGCAAAGTGAAGATTCACGGGTAAAAAGCCCCAAACTTCTAGATAGGTTCT